ACTTAAGTTAAAATAATGAGATCGAAGAAACTGGATTTTTCCTGCCCGATTGCTAGTTTTTTAAATCTAGATCTAGATATTTTGTTGCTTTTTTTTTCTTTCTTTTTTTTTTTTCTTTTTTTTTTTTTACTCATTTCTATGTGAAATTTACTGAAAATCGTTTGACTTACGGTACACAAAGTGTACATTTTCAGTTTCCAAGGACTCTAAAGCTTGGGAAATCATGAAACTCTGGGGCCCATTTTCTCGCAAGTTTTTCCTGTGAAACCAGGCGACCCCCACCCCCCTCAATATTTCGACTACTATTCAATAATAATATAGATGAGTATTTGTAGCGCCAAAAGCAAGAAAAATGACACAAGCTTTCATTAAGATGATACCAATAACTCCACATGCCCAAAAATTGACGAACACCTGATTCTACCGCATCATGACACATTTATTACTACGTTTTATGTGTGTGCTAGTGTGTAGTCTTTGATTAATAATGATAAAGAGTTCAATTGAATTAACTTGATTTTAGATTGCAATCTCCACGTTTATATATTATATCTTTTTATTTCAAAACCCAAAGAAGTAAAACTAATAATGGTTTCGGATTCCTTGAGGTTTCTATAATTATGCTGGGACAAAACAAAATTGCAGTACTTGTTATCTCCTGTCCCGGATTGTAGTACTTGTTATCTCCTGTCCCGGATTGCAGTACTTGTTATCTCCTGTCCCGGATTGCAGTACTTGTTATCTCCTGTCCCGGTGAGGCGTACTTCCTCTCTACTTTGTCTGTTGTTGTGTTTATTTCTGTTACAAATAAGACCATGGGAATAATTATGATGGTGAGATGTCTAACAGAAAGGGGGACTGTTAAAGTGAAATGTGCTCTTTTTTACCCGGCACATTGCTGGCTGTCAGACGCGGCAATTTTTTCTTAGCTTTCTAACAACTCCGTTTATTCTTAAAATTTTGATCGAGCCGATAGAACATTTATTTTGAGGCAATGTGGTGAAATAAGGCATTCTTCACAATGATTAAATCCAGGAATCAGGCATTTTCCCGAAAGTTTTGTAATTTCTATCGAATTTTTTTTTTCTTGGTTCAACAAAGTCCGTAAAACAACACATTTTCATTCAATGTTACTCAAAAACTGTTGTTAAGGGACAAACAAATGAAGATTTTCAGTTTTCAAGGACATACTAGCTATTGAAATTACTAAATTTCAGTGGCCTTTTCTCACTAAATTTACCTCTAAAACCAGGTGACCCACACCTCCTTCATTCGCAAAAAAATCGACTTGAAGATAGAAGAATATTTTTTCATCAAAGGCAAGACCAATGAACAAGCGTAAGCATGACACCAGTCACTCTACATGGCCCAAGAAGGACGAGCACCTGATTCCACCGTGCCGTGACACTTGGTGAAATGGTGAAATGGTATAGGTTTAACGCCCCCATCAACACTATTAGGTTATTTAAGGGGCGGGACCTCCTAGTTTAACGTCCGTCTCCGATAGGACCGAGCCAAGTGGGAAGTTCGTGTAAAGTGCCTTTCCCAAGGACACAACGTCGGACCGAGCTGAGGCTCGAACCCCCGAACTCGCAATCTCACGATTACGAGTCCGGTAGCCTAACCACTAGGCTACAACTGACGCCATTTGACACTTGGTTTCTGACCTCATAGTCTTTATAACTCAAAAGGGCGAACGTGTCAGATAGAACTGTATAATTCTAAAGCCGCGATGCGGTCCTCAATCTTTGTGGCCGCACCTTTCTGTCAGTGTTTGTTGGACTTTTTTCAGGAAATTGTTTGTACATCTGAAATAAATAAATAAATAAATAAATAAATAAATAAATAAATAAATAAATAAATAAATAAATAAATGAATGAATAATAATGAAGAAATGAAGAAATGAAGAAATGAATTCCAATCTATTGATCCTTTTTGGATGTTTTACAGTGGCGCAGATAAATACATATTTAGATCAAATAAAGGGTGTTTAAAAAAGAGGACCCACTTATGGGACGAACTTAGTGATTTCAAAACAAAACCTTGAACAAATAAAATTCAAACCAGAGGGCATGAAGTGTGTTGATATAAGGACTATCAATGTGTAAGAAATATAGAGTTTTTCAAATTTCAATCAAAATTGTGTTAAAAGCAAAACTTTAATCCGTAAAAATGTACAACTACAGGGACGTGGTCGGCCTTTTTGGTTTCAAAACTAGAACGGTAAAATCAATACGATCATATCAGATTGGTATCTCATCATGTTGAGAAGGTTTAGGGGATATTTGGGGACAGAAGGTGTTATGCTCTAGAAAAGGCCGAGTTCCAGTGGGATGGTGCAACACCTCATTTGTCTTCAGGCCATTCCCAAAGGGGGAACATTTCTCGTTCTAATGCATAGTAGAATTGTAAATGGGCTGATCCATCAATGTCACGCTCAAAACTGTGCCTGAACTACAACAGGGAACTGCTGCTTTTTCTTTCCTCATCCTTACTATAGTCCTTTTCCTCTACTTCTTTTGTATGTTTGTCACACTCTTGTGACCCGCTATTTCCGGGGTGCCTTGATAGTCGAAGCAGACTTTGTGCTGTTGAAGTTAGAGAGGTGAGCAGAGTAAGTCTGATTTCCCTCTGAGGACTTCTCTGTTGACATCCACCCCTTGACACTCATATGACTTTATCCAGTTGCAAGGTTCGTAAAACCTCTACAAAACACAAAACACATAAAAAGTGATCTTAGCATGGTTGCAAGGAAGGTTAGGGGAACGCCTTATAACCCGAAAGCTTACACATCAAGGGTCACCGCATTCTCCCAATTTGAACACGTTCAATTATTTTCCCTGTGTTTTTTTTTTTTATAGACACGGTTTACGGAAACGACCCACAAACAATTTAACAGTTGAATGCATTGTTCAAAAGGATGACCAAACAGACGCACGCCACAGGATTGTGTACAATTTCCAGTGGCGCATTAGAGCTTGTCTGGAGAGAGATGGAACATACTATTAAAATAGCGACCACATTCTCTGAGTTTATTTGGCATTATAAATTTCGTATGAAGTTGTTCTCAAACGTACAGGCGGTGACTATATTAAACAGAACAACATGGTTGATTTTTTTGAAGTTGCAAAGTTTTGTGTTTCATCCAGTTTTGGTTGAAATTGTTCAAATTTGATATTATTTCGAACACGTACGTTGATTTTCTTCATATGAAAAAGAATGGGACATCCCCTGGTTAAATCTTTTGTGTTGAACGTTTTGCTGGAATTGGTTCCAAGATGACCGAGTTATTACCCTTTAAATGGATCCTCATTTTTTTCTGTTTCCCTTTGTTTGAACACCCGATACCATCAATTGTCCAACTGCATGCATCATCAAGACTTAGTCGACCCCAAACATGATGCTGCTGTTAGTTGCATGGCGTTCTACCTCTGTCAGTTTGTCTCTCAGGTCAACGTGTTTTTATAAGGCGTCGGTAGTCTAGTAGTTATGTCACCGGGCATGTAATGGTAGAACTGCTAGTCTTAGCTTAGTCCGATGTTATGTCCTTGGGAATGGCACTTTATATGTATTATATTTTACCATATAGCACATTCCTATGGATGATGGTTCTCCGGAGGTCCTGCCTCTTAAAAAACCTTACAGTGTTGCTAGGGACGTTAAACAAGTACATTTTGTGTGTTTTGTTTTTTTATTTTCTCGCAGCTCGAAGATCCAAAGGTCCACCATTACGAAATCTAAGTACCAGCATTCGTCTATATGCGCCATCACGTTGACCCCAAGCATTACGCCGTGTCTGATACAGTTATGTTGAGACCTGCCATTCAGGGTTTCTTTTACGTTCATATCGACACATGTGTCACCATCTTTTCACCCGCGTCTGTGGTCTAACAGTTTGTTTTGCCGTCTCATGAGGTAGACGTAAGATCGATTCTCGTGTGGAAAGAAGTTTTATCGAGAATGTTCGTCTGTCTGCTGGATGGATGTATCTGTCTCAGCCCGAATGGGTCCTGACAGGTCGAAGCAGCCGGCCTCCTAAATATCCAATATAAACTGGCGTATAACCTCCACAACTGGCTCTGTCTAGTTGTGTTGGAATGTTGCATGCTGTTTATCTTTTCTGTGGACTTGTTTTAGAGTTGGGTTTTTTTACCCAAGAAAAGTGAAAGCCCAAAACCTACTTGTGTTGTCTATTCCCCAAGGACAAGCCTCACTTCCAGCTCGTGAATGCTGGAGTCAGGCCACCCATGGTTTAGATTTCTTCTTTTTTTTTCATCGTTTGATGTAGAGATTAGCTCTCCACATGACAAAGAGATCTGGTAGATATGAGTTCGATTCACGTGTGGTCAGTTGTTTTTTTTAAACCTATTTTAAAATTATGGGCATACATCTCCCTCTTTTTTCGTACTGGGAGTCTGTATATCTCTCAAACTACATTGGCCCTGACGGGGTCGAAGCAGCCTGCCTCCTCTGTAATCGAAATTATGTTGACAGGGGCGTAAAATATCAAAAGCCATACTTACATTTGTGAAGCAGCGTGGTGGAATCAGGCTCTCGTCAAAATAATCAAAGTGAAGAAACTGGCATTTTTCCGCAAGTTTGTGAATTTTTATCAAATTTTTTATTTTTGGCTCAAAACCTTTCATGCCCAATAAAGAACTCATTTCTGTGGGGGAGGGGGGCGGGGGTCGGAAAAACGTTGATTAAAGGCACAAAAAATGTACATTTTCTTTTACGACGGACTCTTAAGCTAAGGAAATAACGAATCTTTGGCGGCCAATTTTTCACTAATTTTACCTCTGAAAACATGTGACCCCCACCTCCTTCATTCGCTAATATCTCGACTTGTATGCAAGGTAAATGGATTTTTTTTCATCCAAATAAAGACAAGTGAAAAAGCTTTAAGATGATACCAATAACCCAATATGCCAAAAAAATTGACGAGAGCCTGATTCCACCACGTTGCTTCACTTTTTTTTCCACACAGACCTTCAAGAACTTAATCATTTCCCAGTACCATCACTCATCCAACAGTGAACATCATCATGTCGGTACCCAAGCTCTACTACTTCGACATCATGGGTCGGGCGGAGATGATTCGCCTTGTGCTTGCTGCTGCGGGGAAGCCGTTTAAAGATATCCGATTTTCATTCGAGGAATGGCCGAAATCGTACCAAAAAAGTAAGTAGTGACATTATACATTGGTAGTGGTTAAAACACGAATGACAATAATAATAATAATAATAATAATAATAATAATAATAATAATAACAATAAGAATAAGAATAATAATAATAATAATAATAATATTAATAAAAAAAAAAAAATAATAATAATAATAATACTCATAATAACAATAATAATAACAACAATAATAATAATAATAATAATAATAATAATAATAATAATAATAATAATAATAATAATAATAATGATAATAATAATAATATTTGGAAAATTGACAAAGAAATTGAAAAAGAACAGTTTGGCTTCAGGTCTGGAAACTGCACCGTAGAAGGAATCTTCTGTATGAACACCATGGCACAGAAAAATATTCAAGTCTGAAAAGACCTCTTTGCTTGCTTTATTGATTGCTCAAAAACTTTCGACAGAATCCATCACATCAGGCTGATTGAGTGTTTGGAGAAGATAGGTATAAAGGGCAACGATATATTAATAAGAATCTTAGAGAATCTTTACTGGCAGCAGAAGGCAGCAATAAAAGTGCGTAAGATAAGATAAGATGAGATGAGATGAGATGAGATGAGATGAGATGAGATGAGATGAGATGAGATGGGATGAGATGAGATGAGATGAGGTGAGATGAGATGAGATGAGATGAGATGAGATAAGTAAGATAAGATAAGATAGATAAGATAAGATGCATCTTTATTGTACAGATCCTGGCACACTGGTTTGGTGTTTGGTATAGTTGCGAGCGCCGTAAAACCTTATACTATACATACATACATACTATACACACACACACACACACACACACACATAAACACACACACACACACACACACACACACACACACACACACACACACGTCACGTAGGCTTACTATCATATTATGCAGAATATAAATGAGCAGCATGCAAGCAATATAAACAATAATAATCTTAAGCTAGATACACGCTCAATGTTATTCTAATGCATGCTTTAAGGTCGTAAGTATACTTATACCGGATGGTTAAGATGGAAGCATTTTGATAGATGATGGTAAAAATGATCTTCCATTTTATCTTTTTTTTGTTACAGATCAGAAGCATGGGTCTTTTACTTCGGATTGATGTTTTTATTGGAGGGAACAAAGAATTTTTTTTGTTTAAAAAGATGGAATTAATTTTTTTAGTGCAAGCTATTATGTACAATTCATCCAAGTAGGGGAATGTAGATGTTGAAATTTCACATGCTTTCCGTATTAGTCGATTTAATTTTTTTTCATCTTGTTGTCTTGTGTTCCCGGCCCATACTGTTATATAAAAAATGATCGTACTTTCTATGGTTGAATGGTAGAATATGGACATCGACGTTTTATCAACTTTAAAATGCCTGAACTATCAGAATAATACTGGAATCCATAGAAGGGGGAAACAAGGCCGCGTCCTCTCTCCCTGTCTTTTTAATATCCGTACAGAGTTTATTTTAGAGAATATCAAGTGCTACTGGGAGTCACTATTGAGAGGTCGAAAAATCAATAACCTGAGATACGCAGATGAAACTCTCCTGTTTGCATATGCGAACGAAAATATTTCTAAAATTGTGAAAGTAGTAAAAGTGAACAGAAGAAAGGCAGGCATCGAGATAAACCAAAGAGAAAACAAAAAGAATGGCCATATCAAAGGATTGCGAGAGAATTGAACAAATGCACCAATAATTCAAGTATCTAGGGGCAATAATCACAGATGAAGGAAAAAGCAAAAAATAAAATAAACCTACGAAAAGCAAATTCAAACACAAAAATCAGCTATACGCACACATTATCTAAAACCTGGCAACTATCTCTCACTTTAAGAAAGAAAATGCTGGAATGCTACATCTTCCCCATTTTCCTATATGGCGCTGAAACCTGGACTTTAATAAAGAAAGAAGAAAACAAAATGTGAGGCAGCATGGTGGAATCAGGCTCTCGTCAACATAATCAAAGTGAAGAAACTTCCATTTTTCCACAGGTTTGGGAACTTTTATCAAATTTTTGCTTTTTTTAGCTCGACACCTTTCATGCCCATTAAAGAACTCATTTCTGTGAGGATTTTTCTGAAAAAAGTTGATTAAAGGCACAAAAAATGTAAATTTTCAGTTATCATGGACTCTTACGCTAAGGAAATAATTAATCTTTGGCGGCCATTTTCTCACTAATTTTACCTCTGAAAACAGGTGACCCCGACCTCCTTCAATCGCAAATATCTCGACTTGTATTCAAGATAAATGGATATTTTTTCATCTGAATAAACACAGGTGAACAAGCTTTAAGATGATACAATAACTCTACAAGCCCAAAAATTGACGAGAGCCTGATTCCACCACGCTGCCTCACAAATAGCTGCGTCTGAAATGTGGTCCCGCCGTAGAATGGCTGGAATAAATTGGACAGCAAAAAAGACGAACAATGAGGTGTGACAGCTTCTCCACTCAAGACAAACCCTGTCGAATAGAAAAAAAAGTAGGAAAATTCAATATTTTAACCTTTTTAAACGACACGAGACCATTGTGAAAGAGGAGCAAGAAGAAAGGACGTGGGGCAGAAGAGCCAGTGGAAGATAAAGAGTAACCTGGATGGACAACATAAAAACATGGACTGGCCTGGATATGACAGAATGTGCAACGCAACTCGCTACCATTAAGGATCTAAGGTCATTACACGTCAGCCTCTGAGTCAGGGATGACACCTGTAGATAACCAGATGATGATGATGATAATAATAATAATAATAATAATAATAATAATAATAATAATAATAATAGTAGTCATAATAATGGTTATAATAATAATAATAATAATAATAATAATAATAATAATAATAATAATAATAATAATAATAATAATAATAATAATAATAATAATAATAATAGTACTAATAATGATGTAGAGGAGTAACATAGTTTGCGTCAGGCAAGTTGGTAAGATGAGCGGAAAGCTCAAGGAAAAGAGAAGAGAGGAAACGTGATTGTAAAGGCATTGCGAATAAGAAATGCAACGGAAAGTAACTCATGTAGCCTAACTATGCTTATGAGCCTTGAAATCTGTGGAAATGTGTCTGGTCATCCATTCATTTGTAAGTGCTACTTATTGTTCATCTCTACAGAGGACAATTTAATTATCAGAAAGCTCATTTTCTATACGTTTCTTTTCAGATTCGTCTATTACTTGTTTTTAATGTTTCCCCCTTAATTGCGTCCCTTCAAATATTTTCTTAGATTTATGCTTCGGACGTTTATTGAACCTAAAATAACATTTATTCTTTCAAATATTGAGATATTTCAAGAGTTGGAACTGTGGCAATGATATCATTATCTGGTAGACTTACAATGACGTGGTGGAAGAAAATATTTGTTGTGTATTGTACCGTGGCATTGTCCGGTAATCAAACTTTGGCTATCGACACATTGGGTTCTGTTTTTTCTTCTGATTTTTTTTTTCATAATCTCAAGAATGCTTAACACTGAATTTCCTCAGAGTCTCCTTTTGGCTTGTGTCCGTGGGTCGAAATAGACGGTGAAGTTTTCGGACAGTCAGTGGCCATCGCAACATACTTCGCCAGACAGAATGGTAAGTTTTGCACTAGAATGTGTTGCTTAAACGTTGCCCCACGGGAGGCCTATCGGCGACGGGGTATTATAATATAATATAATATAATATAATATAATATATATAGAAATAAAAACGTTGTAGCAGTGATCTCGTTTTTTAACATGCGCACTTGTTAAAGTTAACTTTTTTTTTTGGTATGGTTTGTGTGGCCTTTGAGATCGAAAATCAGTTGGTATACAACAACTGGAGCAATTTTTTGGTGAAAAAATGTCTTGCAGACCAGGCACAAGTGCTGTTTTACTCTTACGCCATAATGAGAATTCTGGTGATGAATAAGCTAGATCTAAGCTTTTCAGTTGCGATTCAAATTCCCTTTTTGGTGAAAATGCAATCATCACTTTGAATGTTTTCAGTATGCTGAAATTTTGATAATGGTTGGAGAATTTTTGCCGAGATTCAGATGTAGTACTGATGAACTGCCTGCATCTGTATCCTGGTCCGTGTTACGCGCTCTGCGCACTGCGTGGGTGGCATATGTTTAAGCTCTTTTGGGTAAAAGTAAAGTATAACTCCACCGCCACCCCCCCCCCACACACCACACACACACACACACACACACACACACACACACACACACACACACACACACACACACACACACACACCATGTCTTTGCGCATCACGACGACCCCAGCCCCATGTTTCACTTTCTGTAACACTCGACCGGACACCCTATATCATGACCGCCACAGTGACCCTGGATGGTGTGCAGCTGTAGACCAAGCACCTCAAAATTACGGGGATGGAAGGGGAAGGATGTTATACTTTATTGTTGTCGTTCTTTTGCCTATCAAGAGTGTATTATTTTTGCCTTCTTTTCCTTCCGAGTGCCAAATCGGAAATAGACATATGTGATACAGCGTGGTTGAATCAGGCTCTCGTCAATTTTTGTGCATGTAGAGTTATTGGTATCATCTTAATGTTTACTTGTCTATATTTGAATTAAAAAAATATCCATTTATCTTGAATACAAGTCGAGATATTTGCTAATGAAGGAGGTGGGGGTCACCTGTTTTCAGAGGAAAAGTTAGTGAGAAAATGGCCGACAAAGATTAGTTATTTCCATAGCTTAAGAGTCCGTGGTAACTGAAAATTTCATTTTTTTGTGCCGTAAATTAACGTTTTCAAGTAAAATCTTCACAGAAATGAGTACTTTAATGGTCATGAAAGGTGTTGAGCCAAAAAATAAAAATTTGATAAAAATTCACAAACCTGCGGAAAAATGCAAGTTTCTTCACTTTGATTATTTTGACGAGAGCCTGATTCCACCACGCTGCCTCACTTTTGTAGTTACGGTTTGCTATTATTTTCTCCGCTCAGATTTTGTTAAAAGAACAGCTACATTGTTATCCTGTTCTTTCCCCGTCTTCCACTATCCATCTGTTCAATATCTTACGTCCTGCTTTACACGCTACAATGACCGCACACGTCTTTGTGTATATCCATTGGTTGACTTGTTATTAGAAAAACGCCGATAGCAAAGGATGTTACACTTTACAATTTCACATTTTCTTTGTTTAGAACACCATAACACATGTTAGATTGTGTTCAACATTCGCGGTTTGCTAGCTTATCATTCTTTGCTCTTTCGTCCTCTTGTGTGCTTTACTGGTTTTTGTTGAAGTATGTAATATAGTGAATACAAACTAGAGCCAGCAGGAATGTGGTTGCTGCGGAGATTTTTCGCAGTTTTATTAAAGAAAAAGAAATAAAATGAGGTAGTGGTGCAAGACACTGCGAGGCTGATCGCAAGAAGTAACCATTGGAAAGTGACCAATGCAGTTTCCAGGAGAGTGGGATCGAAATAAAGGCCTGGAACATCTTGCTCTCACTAGAGACATAGAAGACAAAGGAATCAGACGTAGACTAAGAGCAGCTCACTTAGAGGACTGACATAAGTGATTGTCTGGGAAGACTGGGGTAGTAAAACTTTTTTTTAGAGCATACAAGCAGAAAAATAAGTCGAAAAGCATGATAGCTTACGCCTGCTTCAAATCTGGTGATGATAATGATGATTATTATTAAGAATAATATATTCTTTAAAATATCTCGTTCCATGCAGTTAAAATAATTATTCTAATAATACCAGTTTGTTGCTTTCTGTTCATTCTCATTGTTTATGGGTTTTTTATTCAGCCACGGCGCCTGGTAAATATCATTATAGTGTCATATTATTTGTTAGGTTGATTTGTATTCTTTTTGAAGCAGAATACTCACCAATTCTTTTTACCAAAATATATACTAGAAAGAATGTCCATCGATTAACTAGTGGTTCATGAGTCATAATATTATTGTGTGTATTCTCATGTCATTTCATTATTGACGCTTATAATGAAACAGAACGTTATGTTAATTTTATTATCGGTAATATTGAAATGTTCCAGACCTCTACGGGAAAACCGACAAGGAATGTCTTCAAATCGATCAGTTGTTGAACGTCATTCAGGACTTTCTCGCCCTATCTACCAAGATTTTCAAAGAAACAGATAAAGACAAGAAGGTGAACGATTCTCTAAAAGCTTAAATTACTGAACCATTACTGACTTTGCCTCTGCTCGAGTAATTCACATCAAAGAAATGGCTCATTAACTTTTTCATTCTCTGTATTGTGTGTTCTCTCTCTGTCTCTGC